ATGAAAAATGCGTCATGGACCGTGAAATCTGGTCTCCCCCGGTGAAATCTGGTCTTTTGTGTACTTTTACCCTACACTTTACAGATTTCACAGGGGAGGCCAATGTTTCTCAAACTAGGGGGTCCTGACCCAAAAGGGATTTGCACGGGGGGTCCGCAAGGTTATTTTAGGGGGGTTGCAGTATTGCCACCCTTACTTCTGTGCTGCCTTCAGAGCTGGGCGCCTAGCCAACAGCCACCAATCTCCGGCTGCCCAGCTCTGAAGGCAGTACAGAAGTAAGGGCGGCAATATCATACCATGCCACCCTTACTTCTGCGCTGCTGTCTTCAGAGCTGGGTGGCTGGAGAGTGGCGGCTGCTGACTTAAGGCTCAGCTCTGCAAGCAGCAGCGCGGAAGTAAGGGTGGCCATACCATACCATGGCATCCTTACTTCTATGCTGCTGCTGGCGGCAGCGCTGCCTTCAGAGCTGGGCTCCTGGCCAGCAGCCACCGCTCTCTAACTGCCCAGCTCTGAAGGCAGCGCCACTGCAGCAGCAGCGCAGAAGTAAAGGTAGCAGTACCACAACCCCCCCTACTATAAGCTTGTGACCACCGCACAATTCTTTTTTGGGTCAGGACCCCTACAATTACAACACTGTGAAATTTCAGATTTAAATAGCTGAAATCATGAAATGTATTATTTATAAAATCCTACAACCGTGAAATTTACCAACATGAATTTGGTAGGGCTGTATTTATTCCTGCAGCTTCTGCTCCATGAAACTTCCCTGAACTCCTGACTTGACTTTGCAGAGTTGTCACTGTGATGCCTCCAACTCCACGGAATGGGAACCAAGATAGCAAGTTGAAAGGAAACAGTTGTTGGATGGAACAGTGCAAGGGTTTTGCAGCTGGTGTATCAGAATGCCTTTGCTCCTCCTCTATAAGCATTATGCACATCCGTACATAGAATCATAAAATCATAGAATATCAGGGTTAGAAGGGACCTCAGGAGGTCATCTAGTCCAACCCCCTGCTCAAAGCAGGAACAATCCCCAACTAAATCATCCCAGCCAGGGCTTTGTCAAGCCTGACCTTAAAAACTTCTAGGGAAGGAGATTCCACCACCTCCCTAGGAAACGCATTCCAGTGTTTCACCACCCTCATAGTGAAAAAGTTTTTCCTAATATCCAACCTAAATCTCCCCACTGCAACTTGAGACCATTACTCCTTGTTCTGTCATCTGCTACCACTGAGAACAGTCTAGAGCCATCCTCTTTGGAACCCCCTTTTAGGTAGTTGAAAGCAGCTATCAAATCTCCCCTCATTCTTCTCTTCCATAGACTAAACATCCCCAGTTCCCTCAGCCTCTCCTCATAAGTCATGTGTTCCAGTCCCCTAATCATTTTTGTTGCCCTCCGCTGGACTCTTTCCAATTTTTCCAATCCTTCTTGTAGTGTGGGGCCCAAAACTGGACACAGTACTCCAGATGAGGCCTCACCAATGTCGAATAGAGGGGAACGATCACGTCCCTCGATCTGCTGGCAATGCCCCTACTTATACATCCCAAAATGCCATTGGCCTTCTTGGCAACAAGGGCACACTGTTGACTCATATCTAACTTCTCGTCCACTGTAACCCCTAGGTCCTTTTCTGCACAACTGCTGCCGAGCCATTCGGTCCCTAGTCTGTAGCGGTGCATTGGATTCTTCCGTCCTAAGTGCAGTACTCTGCACTTGTCCTTGTTGAACCTCATCAGATTTCTTTTGGCCCAATCCTCCAATTTGTCTAGGTCCCTCTGTATCCTATCCCTACCCTCCAGCGTATCTACCACTCCTCCCAGTTTAGTGTCATCTGCAAACTTGCTGAGGGTGCAATCCACACCATCCTCCAGATCATTTATGAAGATATTGAACAAAACCGGCCCCAGGACCGACCCCTGGGGCACTCCACTTGATACCGGCTGCCAACTAGACATGGAGCCATTGATCATTACCCATTGAGCCCGACAATCTAGCCAGCTTTCTATCCACCTTATAGTCCATTCATCCAGCCCATACTTCTTTAACTTGCTGGCAAGAATACTATGGGAGACCGTGTCAAAAGCTTTGCTAAAGTCAAGGAACAACACGTCCACTGCTTTCCCCTCATCCACAGAGCCAGTTATCTCGTAATAGAAGGCAATTAGATTAGTCAGGCATGACTTGCCCTTGGTGAATCCATGCTGACTGTTCCTGATCACTTTCCTCTCCTCTAAGTGCTTCAGAATTGATTCCTTGAGGACCTGCTCCATGATTTTTCCAGGGGCTGAGGTGAGGCTGACTGGCCTGTAGTTCCCAGGATCCTCCTTCTTCCCTTTTTTAAAGATGGGCACTACATTAGCCTTTTTCCAGTCATCCAGGACCTCCCCCGATCGCCATGAGTTTTCAAAGATAATGGCCAATGGCTCTGCAATCACATCAGCCAACTGCCTCAGCACCTCAGATGCATTGCATCCAGCCCCATGGACTTGTGCTCGTCCAGCTTTTCTAAATAGTCCCGAACCACTTCTTTCTCCACAGAGGGCTGGTCACCTCCTCCCCATGCTGTGCTGCCCAGTGCAGTAGTCTGGGAGCTGACCTTGTTCGTGAAGACAGAGGCAAAAAAAGCATTGAGTACATTAGCTTTTTCCACATCCTCTGTCACGAGGTTCACAAAAAGAAAAGGAGTACTTGTGGCACCTTAGAGACTAACCAATTTATTTGAGCATGAGCTTTCGTGAGCTACAGCTCACTTCATCGGATGCATACCGTGGAAACTGCAGAAGACATTATATACACACAGAGACCATGAAACAAGACCTCCTCCCACCCCACTGTCCTGCTGGCAATAGCTTATCTAAAGTGATCATCAAGTTGGGCCATTTCCAGCGCGAATACAGACTAACACGGCTGTTATTCTGAAACCTGTCACGAGGTTGCCTCCCTCATTCAGTAAGGGGCCCACACTTTCCTTGACTTTCTTCTTGTTGCTAACATACCTGAAGAAACCCTTCTTGTTACTCTTAACATCTCTTGCTAGCTGCAACTCCAGGTGTGATTTGGCCTTCCTGATTTCACTCCTGCAAGCCCGAGCAATATTTTTATACTCTTCCCTGGTCATTTGTCCAATCTTCCACTTCTTGTAGGCTTCTTTTTTGTATTTAAGAGCAGCAAGGATTTCACTGTTAAGCCAAGCTGGTCGCCTGCCATATTTACTATTCTTTCTACACATCGGGATGGTTTGTCCCTGTAACCTCAATAAGGATTCTTTAAAATACATCTCTTTCCATTTCTTGACATGAACTTCCATTCCTTGTTGTGCACATGCTTAGAGACATGCTTTTCAGAGGCAGAGGTTCTTGTGTACTGTGAGCTTTGTTTTTTGCATGTTTTTGGGAGCAGTCTCACCGTGCATGTTTTCTTACATGATCGTAATTCAGCCCAGAATGTGCAAAATAAAATTATCTCTCTCTGCTCCCCTGCCCCCCACTTATGTTTCTTCTTTTCTATATTCACCCTGGGTACTAACTTTAATCACAGGATTATACAGTAACTAGAGCTGTAGCTGCCCTGAATGCAAATATCTTTTATGTAATTAATCAGGTGTTTGAATGCCTGAATAAAAATATTCAGAAATAGCCCATCAAATAAGCAGAACCCTATCTTTCAGTGTAGTATTGGGCTTTAGTTTTAGAACCTTGGAAATCTTCCACCAATCAACTCTAAAGCCTTCTGTAGTACTTGTAATACAGTGTAAATATACTGGCAGGTAAAGTTTCAAAGAAAAGTTTGTACTGGGAATCATTTGATGGAAAACATTTCTTAAACTGGAGAAGAATAGCTTACTGGTTGAAGAATGCCTGATTTGAAAGAGCTACTAGACTCACTGGAACCTCAGATTCAAAGTCATTAGGCCTTTAATCCTTCCAAAGTAGATAAATTGAGCCATTTACTGTGTGAGCCTTTTTAAGATCAGACCTTAAAAAACAAGGTACTGTCTGCTCAGTGTGGACATTAAAGATCCCATGACACCTTTCATTGTAAGGGTTTGTTCTGCAACCACTGGAAAATTTTTACTCTCCTCCCTCACTTGTGCAGCATGTTCACTGCCTGATTGCTTCTTCCCACCCCAGAGCTGGGTGATTCATTTCAATGGTTCAGTATGTATAGTAGGGGATCCCTGAAATGGAAAGGTACGTAAATGTAAAATACTATTGGGTCTGACTCCCCATTTATACTGTTGTAATCAGAAGCAACATCACTGAAGTCAGTAGAATTTATACCCTTATAAAGTGGTGCAGGAGGAGAATCAACCCTGTTACTTACAAAGGAAAATGCCTTTCTGGTGACCTGCTACTGAAGAAAGACTCATTTAGCAGTAGCAAATCGAGGATGCATTCTTTGACATGGCACAGGCCAGTTAAGATATGGATATATAAGGAAAATTTACATGGGGCTTACTTTTCCTCTACTAGGCCTGTTTTACACCACTGTAACTCTTTTGCTTTAAGGGAGCTACTCCTGTCTTACACCAGTTTAAGTGAGCAGAAAATCAAGCCTATAGTGTACAAATATAGTCAACATACAGGGGGCGGTCAGCTCATCACAGCAGCTGGGTTGGGAGGCATCAGCAAACCAGTTACAGCTCCCTAACACCCCCAGCTGGGAAGCTGCAGGCAGTTTCCACTTCCTTCATGCTATGCTGTCTGAGCAGGGCTAAAGGAGCAGAGCTGGGCTAAGAATCTGGCTGAAGGATGTAAAGCCCAACATGCACATTTTAAGTGGAAAATGTAAGTCCAAGCAGGAGAAAGCATTTCCTTCAATTTGAAGAACCGTTGTACCCAACTCCTCAAATTTGCCCATGATTTTATAAACAGCTGGAAATGAGCCTGGCATTGCCATGTGAGTGAGTTCTTTTGAACGGAAAGGAAGCCGCAGTCTTAAACACTGAAAATAATAAAAGAAGTTCTTACAGTTTGTTTTGTTCCTTCCATTTAATAGATGAAGGAGTCCTGTAGCAAAGGAGACCTGCTGGCTAAACCTGATCCAAGAACCTTCTGGAATAGAGCTGACTCAGGTAAGGATGGAACTCAAAGTACATGTAAACACACAAGGATGTATTCTGCAGAAAGAGGGCTTTCCCTTTTGATATAGTTCTTTTCAAGGGTTACGTACTTTGTACTAAAGCCAAGCAAAAATCAATTATTTTTAATATAGAAATTAAGTGTAACAGACATCCTCTCACACACATAGTGTTTGCTGGTAAAAACAATGTTCCAGAAAATAGGATTTAGCATATTATGTGGTTGGATACATAATGATTCCCGTGGAATAATGCCATAACATAATGATGCAAAACAAAATTACTACAGCAAAACTGTTTTACAAACTCTGGGCCAAATTCTACCATTGAGCCACTGTGTAAATACAGTTCCCATTAACTTCTATAAAGAGTCATGAGGACACATCCAAAGTCAAAATTAGACACTATCTGTCCCCAGTTGAGCAAAACATCTGAGTACTGTGTTAAGGTTTAAGCACATAAATAGCCCCACTGGCTTCAAAAAGAGAAAGAAAGTGAAGGTGGTATAAACTGAATAAAGTGAGATAGCCAGGCAGTTGGTGTGCTCTGAATGCCAATCATTATTAGACCAAACTCACAATCTCGTCACTGTTATCCTGTCTGACCTTCTGTTTTGATTTCTTGTCCTCTCTACCTGTTGTCTTGGCATATGCATAGGCCTTGTCCACAGGAGAAAGCTGTTGTGATGATTAGAGTAATGATACTGTAGATAGTAGATTTTGCTGACAGTTTGGATAGGGAACAACTATGTTAAAACTTTTTTTTTTATTTGTAAATGTTCTCTAGCCACCAATGGTTCCATTTAATAAGGCCTTAAAAATAACTCACCGCTTCAGTTAGCTAAAGTTTATTAAAACCCACTTGCCTTTTCCTATCAATTAAAGTATAGCAAAAGTCTAGCCCTATAGCCAATCAACACACTCTTGTGAAAATGCCAGAGGGTTAGAACTAAGAAAACTGAAAAACAAGTTAAACGGTTTTCAGAGTAGCAGCCGTGTTAGTCTGTATTCACAAAAAGAAAAGGAGTACTTGTGGCACCTTAGAGACTAACCAATTTATTTGAGCAGTGTCTTTTTTCAGGTAATTTCCTTGGGTAGAGCAACAAATATCAGGCAGTCTCGTTTAACACCTGAGTGAAGATTCCCAGTCCCTTAAGACAGGACTGATGTAACTCTGCTTTGATTCTAGTTACATATTAGCTTTTGATTACTCTTTAGGACTTGGAACCAGGGGTTTGAAAACTAGAGCTTGAACTCTTGCTTTCCGCTGTGGTTCCAAGCCCAGCGTAGACAGGATCTATGGCATTGTCTTTTTACATTCTGTTTGCACTACAGAAACGGCTGTCTTTAAGGATTCCAGCTGTGAAGGGAGGAGCACAACTGTTTTAAGGCAACTTGGTCTTATCTGCAAAAAGAAAAGGAGGACTTGTGGCACCTTAGAGACTAACAGAGTCTAAGGTGCCACAAGTACTCCTTTTCTTTTTGCAAATACAGACTAACACGGCTGTTACTCTGAAATTGGTCTTATCTGGGAAACCATCTCAGCTTTGTCTGATGGGAATTTCTATTCACCTGTTAAACAAGACTGTCTGTTAAGGGCTGTACCTAAGCAACCTGAAAAGAGATGCTGTTTTAACCTGATCCTTGGGTTATTTTGTTGCAGCCCTCCAGTGGCACTTTTATAGACATATGTTAATTGGCTATGGGGCTGGACAATTGCTACTCTTCAGTATATATGAAAATGGGGGAGCTGTAATGAACATTAACTAATTGTAGCAGTAAATGCTCTCTACATTCTTTTTAAGTGGAGACTGTGCAATCTCCTCTGTGAAAATGGTAGGGAATTCTCCCATCTGAGGTCTTGCACCACTGCTACAAATAGAAACACTTCTGCAGGCCAGCCACCAGTGTTTCTACCATTGTCTCCTCTGGACTGCTTTAGGCAAGGTGAGATGATCAAAACGGTCGTGCCCAGGCTGCACTAGAATGTCTGCCCATTGCTACTTTTGGGCACGTCTACACTACAAACTTTTGCTGGTGGAAGATTGATCAGCATGAAGCCGCTGCAGTTAGTATATCGCTTGTGCACTTGCATACTTTGGCACTGTGAATACTCACCAGGAATGCTTGTTTCGATGCATAGTGCAGTGCACCATTGTTAGGTATTCCAGTATGCAACTTGCCACCATCCAGCACTCTGTCTTTTGGGAGGTTATGGTAATGCATGGTGTTGCATAAATGAGTTACACAGGCGTGACTGGGAGCAGGGGGTCAGGTTCCCAGCATGCAACCTTCTCTACCCCAGAGTGCCCTCTATAATCCATAATTTTCATGCCTATTTTGAGAATCCCACAAACCCGCCAGGACTTGTTGCTGTCTGCCATCTCTGACAGATGCATGGAGCCTGCACAGCTCTGCACTATTGTCATGAGCATTGCATGAGATGCAGCACGATCCTCTGGTATTTGCAGAGCCACAAGAAGATCTGCAGGGAACATGAAGACTTTCTGGAGGGCGGATTGCTGTGGGACATAGCAAGAACCAATTCAAGGTTGTTAGTAGTGTTTATAGAGCAGCTGCAAACTATGGAGCGCTGCTTCTGGGCCCAAGCAATGAGCACTGCCTGGTGGAATTGCATCATAACACAGGTTTGGGATGACAAGAACTGGCTGCACAACTTTTAGATGCATAAGGCCACATTCCTGGATCTGCGTGCTGAAGTCCCCTCCAGTACAGGAACATTAGAACGCGAGCTGCACTGACAGTAGAGAGGCAAGTGATAATCAAACTGTGGAAACTTGCCGGATTACTACAGGTCGGTGGGAAATCATTTCGGAGTTGGAAAATCAACTGTGGGAGCCACTGTCATGCAAGTATGCAGGGCCATTAATCATCTCCTGCTACACAGGACTGTGATTCTCGTCCATGTCCAGGACATAATGGATGGATTTGCAGCAATGGTGATCCTAGACTGGAGGAGAGGGGAGGCCTAGCTCAGTGGTTTGAGCATTGGCCTGCTAAACCCAGGGTTGTGAGCTCAATCCTTGAGGGGGCCATTTAGGGATCTGGGGCAATAACTGGGGATTGGTCCTGCTTTGAGCAGGGGGTTGGACTAGATGACCTCCTGAGGTCCCTTCCAACCCTGAGATTCTATGATTATGGTGGAGAAATAGACAGAATGCATATCCCTACTTTGGCAACAGATCACCTTGCCACAGAGTATATCAATAGAAAGGGCTATTTTTCTATGGTTATGAAAGCATTGGTGGATCACTGGGGATGTTTCACCGATATCAGTGTTGGCTGGTCAAGGACGGTGCATGGCACTTGCATCTTTAAGAACACAGGACTGCTACAGGCAAAAACTGCTACAGGCAAAGACTTTCTTTCCTGAGCAGCAGATTACTGTTGGTTATGTTGAAATACCAATAATGATCCTGGGGAACCCAGCCTACCCTTTACTCCCCTGACTCATGAAGCCATACAGCTTGACAGCACCAAGGAAAGATTCAACTACCGGCTCAGCAGGTGCAGAATGACAGTGTAATGTGCTTTTGAAAGACTGAAGGTGTACTGCCATTGTTTACTCACAAGATTGGATCTCAGTGACAAAGATATTCCACTCGTTATGGCTTCCCACTGTGTCATGCTGTGTCACAATATCTGTGAAGCAGAGGAGGAAAAGTTGCCACTGGGATGGATCAGCTGTCAGCTGAGTTTGAACAGCCAAACAAGGCTATCAGAAGAGCCATATGGCTCAGGGAGACTTTGAGAAAGCACTTTACCAGTGAGCCACAGTAATGCCTTGTGGTGTACTATGCTCTACCTGGCCCTGCACTACCTGGTGCTTGGTGCACAACTATGATGCTGACAAGGCACCTATTAATTCTGTGGTGCTAATTTTTGATTATTAGATTGTGTTTGTCACTGATCCTACGAGTCGCATCACAGCGTAAAGTAACCAGTAAGTGGGTGCTTTCCATGCTGCCGCACATGTTGGAAACTAATGCACGTGAATTATTTTCCAAACCATACTCTATACTGAGTGATAAAAACACTTCAAAAATGCTGTGCAAATTAAAAGCAAATGCATTAAAATCTTAATACATGTGTGGAACAGAACTTAAAGAAAGAGAAGGAACATTCATGTCAATGTTAGCACGCTGACCTGTGAGAACCACAGTTGATGTATGTGTGTGTAGGGAGCTGCTGTAATGAATTCTCCATGGACTGCAAAGGGAGACAAGCCCAGGATTGTTGAATCTGTAGGTTTGCTGCCAAAGGAGCTCCATTGTGTCCCTCCCTCTCCTTTTCCTGCTGGGATTCTTGGTCCTTTCTCCTGTCTGCTGCTCTTTCCTTCTCTGTACAGCCTGCAATATTCATGCTTCAGGCCCTCTGTTCATGGTCTGATGCAGCACTGCCTTGCAGGATCTGACTGAACATGTCATTCTGAGCTTCTTCTTTTTCATCCTTATCTAGCTCAGGCATTCTGTGGGTGTGGAGGGGGAACTCCTCAAGACTACAACAGCAGCGGCTGCAGATAAAACACAGAAGTTACGTTGTCAGTACAGTAACAACGAAAAGTGAAAGTTAAGATCAAGAACTCCTTTCCCTTGTTCCCCTAAAGTTTTAAACAAGACATTGACTTCTGCTTCTGAGTGCTTGTATACAGCACCACTCACAGTACAGCCATGTATCAGGGGTAGCCATGTCAGTCTGTATCCACAATGACAACAAGGAGACCGGTGGCACTTTAAAAACTAACAGATTTATTTGGGCATAAGCTTTCATGGGCTAGAACCCACTTCATTGGATGCATCCTTGTTGTTTTAGTACAGCCATGGTGAGTATGGCCCACCAGAGGTGAGGGAAAGGAAGGAGGAGGGAGTATAGAAGGGGGAGGGAGTATATGCTCAGTTGCATAGAACTATGGGTATAGGACAATGGCATTGAATACTGCCACCATTTTCCACAGGCGGTGAAAGCTCACTCCTG